ACATGAGGTTAATTGAGTTGACATTGTAATAACCCTGATCCTAATGAACTAGTTTGGTGTCAAAAGGTCTGTTGTTATACAGAAATTCAGCTCTCGCTAATGTATCGCTACAATTAAGTTTTTCCAGAGCTTTAGAAATGTCAGGTCTCTGCAAAGTTTTTCCAGCACATTAAGCAAGAGGAAGAGTGAAAAAGAAGCACATGAAACAATCCTTCATTAATCCCACATGAGTAGGGAATTTGCATTGATTCTCATAGTGCTAAACGTTGAGCTGTGTTAGTCTGACAGTTAGAGCTAGACGGATTTTGTGAGACTTAACCTTATACTAAAAGGACCTACTTGTTATAGATAGTACGACTGGAGAATGTTAAAAGTGTAATAATACCTACCATGATAGATAATGAGATCTAGAAGATTCCCAGGATCACCTCTGGGTTAAATAATGCATAACAATGATACTTCTTGAAATTTGGAAGCTCCAAGCAGGAGCTACCCTTCGCAGTCTTCAAAAAGCTTTGGGGATTTTTCCCAGATTTTTCTCATTTTTGCCTAATTAGTTAATTCCAGTTCCATAAGTTGCAGTTTGTGTTTAATATCGCGTTGTCTTTATCAATTCAGTTAAAGAGGATTTTGTGTATTAACCCTTATAACACAAAGTTCAGTGAGAAACGCAAGAGGTGTAAGTCCTATGTAAACAAGGTAAGTTTGGAAATTAACACAAGAAGTCCATAGGAGACTCCTTCATTATTAAAAATGAACTTAAAGTAGGAGACATCCTGCATTGGATCTCTAGGTCCAGTCTTTTCTTAAGGGTGGACGATCATCCAGCTCCAGAGCTCATTGCTACTGTAAGTATCGATAGACCTTGAAGCAGTGATTTCCAGAGTCTGCAACTACAACATGGCCATCTGAAGTAAGGGCCAGACCTTGGGGACCATAAAGTGGGTCGGCAGAGGTGTTAATGTAAGATAAAAATGATCCACTTCCATCAAAAACCTTTGAGGGTGAGAAAGCACAGAATAAACATTATGAATAAAAAAGGAAAATAATGGACGTGAGTCTGTTTTCAATTATACCATTGTACTTCTCATGTTGAAATGATTGATATGCACTAGAACAAACACGGGCAGAATCTGATCTGTTATTCTCATAATATACGGCTTTATATACAAATATATTTTCTTATTAAAAAGAACTAATTCAAGCTGACAGAATCTTTGGCAAGAATTAAACATGAAATGAAATAATAATTAAAAGAGCACCGTGGCTGTGCCCTGTTCTAAAAATAGCCAACTACAATAAATCAAGGTCAGTCAGGAACTCAACCAACACCTTGTTTTCCTAAGAAATATTACTGTTTTGGCTAGCAACACTCTTAGGTTCCCATACAGAGGAAACCAGGAATTATTTTACACTCTTCACAGTGCTTCCTGAGAACGACCCAGAAGCAGCTCCCTCATTCTTATATTCAGTGAAAATAATAACGTATACTTAGTTATTTGTCAGATATTCTTTGGCAAATAAGCTGACTTTGTGATTAGCACTTGAAAGAGAAAAAGAGTGCAACTCTCACAACATAAGAGTATTTTCTCAACATATAAATAAGATGATAAAAAATTCTGCTCCATTTGCTTCAGGGTCTGTACAGATTTGCTTTTTTTTGTATTTTCCATCATGTCGCCAATCTTCTGTTACGGTGATTATAAATTACTATAATCTCAGCAATGCTTGTAAGTCTCCTAAACCATCAAATAGCTTTTGGGGAACGGCTTGGAGACAAGAGCCTTGGTCACAGCAGCCATGAGAGTTGCTAGCAGTCACGCTGGAAAGGCCATGCTCTGACACCAGCACTTCTAAAAAAGGACAGACCAGCAAGGAGGCATACAAAAGGCTGTGTTAGAAACCACAGCACTCCTAATGCTGCTATCCTGTTTCTTGGAAGTGGCCAGAGTTATCAATCCATTAGTTTTCCTAACCAAACACCCTTGAAACACACAAATCTCTACCTGTATTCGGCTGTTTCCCCAGTCTGCTACGATAATATTTCCATTAGAATCTACAGCTACTCCAGTTGGTGCATTAAATTGTCCATTTCCTTCTCCATTTGATCCAAACTTCAGGATGAATTCTCCCTCCTGGTTAAATACCTGCATGGGTTAAAACAAAAGCCTGAATATGGCATCATACCAAATATTAGTCATCTACTACTACCAGTTCAGCTGTTATCAAACTGGGAGTTGAAGAGTTCCCAGGAACACACATACACCTACACACAAACACACTGAAGAGGGGAGAAAAGATGCCTGTCTCTCCCTCCAGCTCCATTACAGCAGACAGTATTTCCCTTCTCCCTTAAGACCAGATTCAGCTCAGACACAGGTGGAGGGCCCCAAGAACCCCTCTGCAGGTTGTGCATCTTGAATTAAGAAGAGCTGGCACTGGGAGTCAGTCCTACAGGAACAGAGGGGAGCAGATGCCCTCTCCTCTGACCTACGTAACATCACACGTGGTGAGAACCATGGCATGCTGCTGTCTGCACGCACAGCTCAGCAGCCAAGTTATCTGTGATGGTAACAGGCTTAGACAGCAGAAAGATGGAACCCATCAATGTCTGTTCTGGCAGTGACCCGGATGCAGCAATGGCACATCTGTTTATTTTGGTCCATCTTGGACCCAGGCTCAGCTGTGCCACAAGGTCAAACAAACTTAGAGACCGGCTGTGGGCTGGCACAAGAAAATGCAGAGACCTGACAAGTGCCAAGTGTACACTGAAGTGCTAAGAAGGTGGAAGATGTGAGGAAATCATCCCCTTCTTGAACATCCACAGCAAATAAAACCAAAAGCATTTGGAGGAGAAGTACCAGGTTGATGATGATGAAAGAAAGGAAAAAAGTCAGCTAGTAAAAAAAAAAAACCCACCAAACCCCAACAAAGATGTAATGCTCTCTCCATGGGTTAAAATGGCGATGGTGAGGGACCAAATGAGAGAGAAGCCTACATTGAGTAGGATTTTCCATAGAAGAAGCCTGAAAGAAGGAATGTGGTGAAGGTTAATGGGGGAGGGAGAGCAATGCTGCTGAGTGAGGACATTTAATTCAAGACACTAGGAGCAGAAAGAGGCTTTGGGATCCTTAAGAGTGAACTTTATTTCTTTATCTAGAAAGTTATTTATTATTTAAACCAAAATTTACTCTCTGCTCTTTCCCCACCATCTAACAAAAGATAAAAGCATCACCTAGATTATAAATTAGCCTCCAAAGCATCAACAATTATCTGTACGGATCTAGAGAAAGCTACAGAAATAAGAATCTTTTCCAATTAGTACCAAACCATAACAAATAACATTTTAATCCCATTGAGTCACACCAGAGACAGACAGGAATGCTCTGTTCTCATGCAGTAATTACGAATTTGCTAAGGTGCCACACTTCTTACATCTCTTCCCTTGCTTGCTTTTCATTTTAATTTGCCCTTGTTGTTAACTCTCTCTCGTCATTCCTGTTACCATAGCAAGCCCTGCTGGTGGAAGGGTAATTTATGGAGTCACAGGCCTCCTGCTGCTAAACCACGTACATCATCTGCTTTCTGGCTCCTCCAGCAGTCTTGGTTTCTTTGTTGTAATCCAAACCACATGAGTTTCTACTTCCTCTCTAATTCTAAAAGGCTGCCAGAGCAAGGTCTCGATTCAAAATCTAGATGATTCGCTCAGGACATGAGGGTGTCTATGCTCAGACAGTGATTTTCTATTTCAGGTGAACATGTAAAATTCACCATTTCAGTTATGAATACTGAAGAACTGGACTGAGTGTCTGACAGGTTTGTGATGTTAGAACAGGCAGCTGTTAGGTGAAATCTCAGGGATTTCAGTGGTGCATAGGACCGGTGCACATGGCCTGAGGAGCCAGGCAGGACTGCTGCCTGTGTCCTTCTGTTGCTGCTCCTGCATGTTGAGGGAAGGAAAAAAGAGTGTGGAAGGTGACTGAAAGGGAATCTCAGAGCCTGAAAACAAACATGCACAGGTAGGTCATTTCTGAAGCAGCCTGTAGCACCTTCCTATACATTTTCTACCACATGACATCTCTACATGTATCTTTGGTTTGGTTTATTATTGGGACAAACAAATACAGCACCCTATCTTACCATGACTGTTTAACAGGCCATGAGTCAGGACTTCCCATGGAAGGACTAGAGGCCAGTTCTGCCCAGTGCAGGAGGTACTGGATGAAAACCAATGATCTCTGTTACACAGTTAAGAGTACTGGGTTGTAAACTGATCCAGTAATCTTAAAGCTTATAGGTATGGAGATAAAACTGTCAGAGATCTTTACTTGGATATAATTTTATTCGACTAAAAATGTGGGAAGCTTTTACTGGGAAATTCAAAAGCAGTTACCAGACTTACTTCAAATAGGAAAGAACATTGGGTAAGTAACAGGTTTGGCAGAGAGCTAATAAAAATAACTAAGTTGATATTATTTATCTCAGTTACAAATTACATTTAAGCAATAGAATTAGAGAATATTATAGTGGCACCAAAGTCATACTGTCTCACCATTAAGCAATACACTGCATGCAAGGGTCTCCAAATGTGTAGTCCTTGTATCAGACCTCATACACATGCAGTATGATCTCTTTGTTTTTAACAATACTTAATTTGCCCCAAGAAAGTACCATGATAAGATAAAAGGATTTCCAAGTTGCCATTAATTGACAGTACCTTGACAGAATGGTTATGAAAATCTGTAACGATAATCTCATTGTTGCTGTTTACAGCTGCAAAATGAGGACCTGCAATGCAGAGGAAGAAAGAAAAAATAATAATATCACTAAATCAAAGTTTGCTTAAATTATTCAGCCTGCCAGAATATTGTATTTGTCTTATGTGTAATAATAGTCAAATTGGGAATATCAATTTCAAATTAAGAGTAATTTAATTTCATGTTTTAAAAAGCTCAGCATGCCTTTTTGTAAACACAAATAATTTCTTTGTCAACTCGTTATCAGTTAGTGCTATCAATAAGCATTATTCATTCCCCCCTCTGTCACATAGCTATAACTATGTAGATATTTATGTGCTTATTAACAAGACAAAATATGTACTGCTTAGGCATAAAGTATACACTGAAAATAGTCCTGAAAATGTTCATTCGTGTTCTTAATTGAAATCTTCTGTGCTTTGTGTGCTTGCTTCTTACAAACATTGAGCAAACAAGTTTTAGGATAAATACAAAAGTTACTTACAAGACCACTGTCAGGGGAAAAAATGCATTTTTTGCATTACTTTGTGTATTGAATCATGTGCACAAACTTAAAAAAAACAAACCAAAACAAAACAAAACAACAAATGGTAGCTTGAAAACAGGCAAATGAAATGAAACCAATTTGGACTACTTTGAGTTATTAAACAGATCCAAACTCAGTTTCAATTTTCACAGTACATCAGTGTATCCTATAAAAAGGGTGAAAGCCTTTACACTGAAAACATTCAATTAATGAGAATTCAGCTGGTTGATGTAGCCTGCCACCAAGAAGCAATACATTTCTCAAATGCACTGTTAGAGTAAGTGCACACTTGTTTGCAGGAGGTATTCTTAAAAATTTTAGAATGAAAAGAATTGGACATACTCAGCAAATCTTGGTAACAGTTAGCAGCGTTAGAGCCAAAGCTCTCATAAATTATATCTATGGCAATTTTGTCAGAAGTCATTGTAAGAGATCACAAGTAAGATAAAAGCAATTATACCATTGATGTTATTTCTCTCTTACACAGTGAAACAGTCAAAATTTCAAACCGATCTAGTACTTATTCAGTGACCCAACACCTGCAAAATGACCTGCACATCTAAAATGGCATCTTCATTTCAAAATCTGAAAGAAGAATTATTCACTCAAAAGACATCAGTTGTTTTTTGTTTTAAACTTAATTGCATGTTCTAATTGAAAGACAGCATGTGCAAGCAATCAGTTGAATATAAGTGGCAATTTCCCCAAACTGGCATTTTCCATTTGTATAACTGTGTTTTTCCTGACTTCAGTCTTAACACTATCCCATTACACTCATTTTCTGATGGGAAGATACCACTTAGGGCATTGGTTGATGTCTGTCTGATCATTTGAAACACAAAGCACCGGTTTTGAGTTGACCATCATGAACTGCTGAGTGTGGGCATCACAAAGCATTTATAAAATGCTAGTTAAGATCAGTCTTTCTTGGGTCACTGATTGGAAATGCTTCCAGGCACAGAGAGGCAGATAAAGCAATCTGGTTACAGCTACATTTGCAGAACAGATGTCGCAGTCTTCCTGACCAATTACACAACTGCTGAAGTGAATAGGAGCTGTATGTTTAGTTGAGCCTTACATACCCCTCCACCCACACACACACCCTGAGGAAAAATGAGTAGGATTTAGCGTCTTCAACATGCTCAAACATCATGCAAATGTGAGCAGAAGAGGCAAGAAAAGGGGATTTACATATTACCATCAAGTGTACCTGCAAACTGCTTGTCACCGTTTCCTCGGCTACCAAACCTGGTGACTATCTTCCCATTTGGCTGGAAGATGAAGACACAGCATGCTTTATTGTCCACTACAATGATGTGTCCATTACGATCCACAGAAACACCTTTAGGGCCCATGAGCTTTCCAGACCCAATTTTGGCCTAAAAGGGAAAACACAAAACAGGAGAATACATTGGCATTATAGAATAAGTTAGTACAGTTCAAAGATTGTATTCCAGGCACACACAGCAGGTTGGAGACACTTTTTTTGTCATGAAAAGTTTCCCAGAGGAAGTGATTATTTTTATCAGCTCTTATTGTGTACTTGGTAATTCTTCCTTCAGCTGAAAATAAAGACCACAGTCCGTGTGCCCTTTTTAGAGTGGAAAATCCGCCACCTCAGCAGCTGGGTCCAAATATACAGCTCATGAGAAGCACAATCATCAGTTTCTTGATAAAGTGCAGCATCTGTCAGAAACCATCACAAATGGATGTATAGCCAGCGTTAGCATACCAGCAGGACAGGCAGACAGGCATAAAGGACTTCTGCCTCCTATTGCATGCTGTTCCAACAACCACCTGGTTATGGGCAGGGAAACCTGCCTTCACCACCGGCTGCTATGCTAAAGCAGTCAGAGTTCACTCTGGGAGCATTAGAGCTGGGTGGGATGTCAGCTAGGATGTCCTCTGTTGCCTTTCTTGGGTGAATGAAATACCATTGCACCCTCAGAGTGCACTTGGAAAGATTTTGAGCAGAGCTGAAGCTCAAGCTAACCTCCAAATCTTCCAACAGATTCACGGGAGATTGCTTCACTTGCTGCTTAGACATGTGAAATGTCAGCTGAAACCTGTAAAGCAGATAGGATCCTGCTGCCAAACAGCAAATAAAACAATCTTTGAAACACTACACAAACCAAAGCTTCCTCCTGTTTCAGGTCAATAAAATTATTTTCATAATTTTAAGTAGGCCTTGTAACTACTAAAAACATCAGCCAGCATAATGAGCACCAGAAGCAGAATTGTATACAATATTCCATATTGTATCAATGGAAATTGTATCTTCAGTGAAGATTAGGTGAATCTCTCTGATTTTTTTTGAAAGGTGAGAGAGCTGTTAAATCAGAAAATGTCAGAAGCGTTCTTTAGTAGGATCAGAAAGACGGGGATCAGAGAAGGAGATCTATGCAATAGCATCCCATCCAGCCCAGACCAAACAGAAATTGAGGCAAGGCCTTCAGAGAACCCATGAGCTACCCAGGCATATACCCAAGAAGATTCTAGGATTGCCTCACAACCCGTTTTACATTTTTCACCATTCTGCTCTTTTTTTTTCAGGCACAGATTCTAGAAACTGGTTTAATCTACATAAAATCAGTTGAGTTTTGACTTTTCAGTTTAAAAAAAGGATATAAAAAAATTTACCTAATTGTTTGGAGCTTTTGTTGTCAGAATGCAGCAACTTGCTTTCTGGTTTTGATTGTATTTTAAATGATAGATTTGGAAGCAGTTATCCAGGTTGGTTCCAAAGTCTGATCCCTGCCAGCCTCTTTACTGTGCTGGACAGGCAATTCACTGAAGAGGCTGTGTTGAAATTATGAATCCCAGAACTTTTCAGATCGTGTAGTAATTTGTGAAAGACACATCCTACAAACTGAGGTCCATCTCTTTGGTGAGAACATAATTTCCTGCTTCTATTTGAATTTAAATTAAATAGACACTAAGATATTTGTCTTTATAAAATAAGACAATTTTTCGCCTCACTGCCTTTGCAGAGTGGGACAGATCACCACCTAGAAAAAGCAATGCTCCTCACTCCTCACAATGCCCCTCTGGCCTCCCTCCTGCAAGTGGTGAGCAGTAGCTGAAGCTCTGTAAGTCTGTGACTATCAAGGTGGGACTGATTAGAGGGCATGGAGAGTATCCATTACCTAACTCATTTCTCTCAACTCCCTAATGTTTCTGAAGTACACAACCAGGTTAGTGTACAAAAGAGCTCAACAACCCTTACTAAGCTCAGTGTTCCTATTCCACAGCACATTCTCGTGGGTGAGGCTGCAGATGAGCCATCCCAGAATAAAGCCATCTAGGTTCCCTGAGGCTGTCTGGTACAAAGTCACCAGCATTACTACACAACCTCTTTCAGTCTCAAATGAAGAGAACTCCAGGGAGTAAGTCTTGCAGCTTCAAGACTGTGCTTAGCCAACATGCAATGATCATGCGTCTGTTTTATGTTCAGGTACCTGTGCTGTTATAAGTATTTAGGCAAAAACCACCCAACTGAATCATGCTAAGATGTCCCCAGGGAAAACTATTACAAATGACTTTGTATTCACCAGGGGAAACACATGAGCAAACCTACAAAATGTATTCAGCTTTGCATAACAAAGTAACAAAAACATAACCCAAATGCCAATCGGTAGATTTCCTTCCTTTGGGGTGATTAGATCATATTCCCTTCTTTCCTTTGGGATGCCTGTGTGTTTGTCTGCTTGTGCATTGCACCACCTCCTGACCACCTTTCCAGGATTCCTATGGAAAAGTGACTCACACTCATGAGTACAGCATTTTCCTGCTCATATAAATACACATGGAAAAAAATAGTGAATAAATCACATACTGCATTAATGGGCACTTAGTGCTGAGAAGGGTAAGAAAAATCACTATTCTTGGGCCAGGATTTAAAATATAATTATATAAAAAATAAATTATGCCCAACTGGAGTTTGCAGTGCTTTTTACTAAAAATCTCTGTTTCCATTTAGATCAAAATATGCTGATGACACATTACAGGGGCTGGCTGAACATATGCTTTATATATTTTTATTTCAGAAGGTTTCTTAGAATTATGTTTGATTATTTAGCACAGAACATTATGAAATCAAGTCAATACTGTTAAGCATATGAATGGAAGTATTTTCAGACTTTCCTGCTATTAGAAATTAATAAAGTATAATGAATTATCTGAACCCTTAATACAAATAATGTGTTTAATTGAATTCAATCAAGGACATTATGTCCCTTTATTTGATAGGCTCTTATGAATTTAGACTATTTTTCAAATATGTTTGTACATAGTCATCCTACCCATGTGAAAAATGTTCCAGTGAGGGATACTCCTGAAGGTTAAAAATTGGCCAGCCTATATAAAAATTTATAAAGACTTCTCCACTTTACAAGTAGGTGTGTTAGGGCTTTAAGTTTAACTTCACTGATCTTGTTGCTGTCTGAAAGGTTCATGATTGTCAGGAATTAATTTACAGACTTTCAACATACCATTTTTTCCTGAGAACTTCCCTAATACAGAGATACAGCTTTGTATTTTGACATTGCAACGTCACACAATAAATTGATTTATCATTCATGTGATTGTCTTAATTCAGCTGTGACCACTTAATCACACTCCACAGAACTATTCCTGTCTGAACAGGAATGCAAGCAGCTTTAAGCAGCCCCCTTCTTAAATCTTCTAATAAGACAAGAAAAAAAAAGTCTGCAAAATTTTTCCTTTCTTCTTTTACCACTCATCTAAACTTGATCTTGACTTGCAGCTTTGTTTGGCTGATAACAAGTTATCTTAGATACAACCCTTCAAGACCAGAAATAAAGTAATTTTCTCCTCAGAGGATCAAGAACTGATTTCTTGGCTCTGTTCTCCAGTTCCTTCACTAGGTTTGAAGACGACCACTAGCACAGAAGCTGATACTGCTCCTTCACCATGTGTTCTCTCCTTAGCCTAGCAATATGTCTTTCATAACAATTTTCTTAAGCAATTTCAGAGTAATGTACAGAGGCAGCCAGCAGTGTTCTCTGCCTTCTATAGATAAGGAAAATAAAGAACTGGGAAGTGAAATGGAAGATCACTAGTTACCTGTGACACCCATGGCATAGCCAGAAACAGAAGTCCCAGTTCCTAAGACCCTGTTTGAGGCTTTCTTGTTCACAGGGTAATACAGCCTTTCATTTTTTAAGAGAGTCATGTTTTGGTGTAACCTTAAGTTAGGGTTTGTCCACCTCTGCATTATGCAAATTTTATAGCCTTGAGAAAATGGAGTTCTGTCTGTGTTGCTACCAGCAACAGAGGAAGGTGACACTTTTCAGCCTGGCATTGGAGGTTGCTGGGGTGAGTCAGCCCAGTGCTGTAATCGGGGAGATGCCTGGGCCTGGCTCCAGGGGAAATTTGCCTTCTGGCTCACATGACTATTGAAATGCCACTAAAGGAGAGCAAGTGTAAATAAATACAGAAAGTAGGGGACAACAAAAAAAAACCAGTTAGATTAAGTTCAAAATAGCCCCCTGATAATGCTGAGTTAACAACTAGCATACCACCTGCATCAGAGATCATATACAATGACTTGCAGGCACAGTCCTTTGAAGGGAAACACCATTTTCCCTTTAGCTATCTCTCTGTGTATCCTAGCAAGCACTGCCCAGTTTAATCTGACAAAGCCCCTGTAAGAATTCCCATTGCCAACACACAGGAAATGACAAGGCTTTGCCCAGATTCCCACAGGCTGGATCTGTTATATCCATGTACTGTGATTCAACTATACCATTACGCCTGCCCTCCATATATAAAATGCTTCTACAAATTTTTGTATATTTTTCTTTCATAAATTAGCCTATTGTATTCAACCTAAAAATAGCATATCATTGATGTTTCATCTCCCATTGAAATCAGTCTACTCCTAAAAACTGGCAAGCATCAGTGTAGTGTAGTAGCTGCCTTCTTATTTTACTCCTATTAAAGGCATCAGAGTTGCTATGAAAATAAGAGGTGTGCTTTTCTCAGAATGTCTCATTTATGAAACCTAAGACATTATTAGTGCCTTTCAGTTTTTCCACTGCACATGACCCCACGTAAAATACTCCTGTCTATGCTGTACCACTGGAAAAACACCCCGGGTTGCCCTTCTTTGCTTTTTTTACCAACAGGATCACACGTGAATCATACACTTGATTTGCTGATACTTATGGAGTAAATAGAGGAAGTCACGATCAGTCTGCTACCTTATTTTTCTCCTCCATATGTCATTGAAGAGCCTCCTAAGTTTTTAAGTCTGTCTGTGTGTATATACCTACATGCACACACCTTTCTGTATAATCAGAACACTAATGATACGAAGGCTGTTGGGCTAGCCCAACTAGACTTGATTACATTAGCCATCCCTAAGTCTAAGTTAAGCACCTAGTACGTAGAACTGTAAAACAGAACACATCATCTCTTTGGTACAGCATCAGTGTCACAGCTGTCACCTCTTCCTATTAACTACAGAACGTGGCTGGGCCATGGATTTCCACCTAACAACAATGGATATTTGGCCTCAGTTTGTAATGGTTTGAAACCTGCTGCCCCTGGTGGGTGGAGATTTGAAACCCTAAACCAGGTACAAGCCTGAATGAAAGGGTTGTACACCTGTCCTATTCCCACTCCCCTTTTCCTGTCCTCGGGACTTCCTGCCAAGGTCTATAAAAAGGGGAGAAAGGCACGCCTCTTTCTCTTGCCCTCTTGCTCTCTTGCTCTTGCTCCTTTGACCTTCTACCTGGGCACACGCTGCTCTGCTGCTCCCTGTGCTACACGTGGCCGTGGCCATCTTGGAGACCTGGGCCTGATCTACAGACTCTTCCCTGCCTCCATCCACGTCCAAGGATTGTGCATCCAGCTTCAATCCACCTCAATCCAGCGAGATCCAGCACTGGGGAGCCTCAGCACAATATTTGGGTTTTGTATATTTGGAAGTTTAATCTTCCTTGCCTTGTTGTTCCTACAACACCCCTTTCCTGATAAACCCCTACCCTTCTTCCTTTCTGTACCCTGTTAAACCCCTTCCCTTCTTCCTTTCTGTTCCATGTTAAATAATATATTTCATTTTGTTAATTTTCAATTTGGTGCAAGGTTTTCATTGCCCCTGCCTTCCTTATTTACCTCTCTACCTGGGAAACTGAGGGATAAGGGAGGTGGGACACAATTCTGCCTTCTAACCAGGACAGAACACAGTTACAACCGAACTATGTAGCTTCTTCAGAAAAAAAAATAAAACAAACCAACATTACTTTGCAGTTCTTTATAAGATGGAGAAAGCTGAGGAGAGTGCCCACGGTAACTCATACCTTAAATTTGCCATCTGATGAGAATATGCTAACCCATTTGTTATCATAATCTGCAATAATGATGTCACCACTGGGATGCACAGCCACTCCTGTTGGCCTCTGCAACTGGCCGGGAGACCTTCCTCGTATGCCAAAACGGCTTTTGAACTGACCATCATTGGAAAATATCTGTAACAGAAAACATTCATTTTAAAATTAAATTTGCAAAATAACATCATCTGTTTATTGGAGCTTGGATTTTAGCAAGTCACTAATGAACACTATAGTCAGGGAGAGAATTGGGAACATGAAGCACTTTTACACAGTCCGTATCTGAAGTGGTGTACCTAATTGACGAAGAGGCTTCCACCTGGACCCTAATTTCAAAATTAAGAAGTTCTCTGCACTAACATTGTACTATTTCTTCAGTGATCTCATAGTACTTTACAATCCTTAGTGAATTATGCTTCACAATGTCCCTCTCAGCTGGAAGTGGTATTATTCCCATACTGGAAATGAGGAAACTGAGGCACTGAGTGACTCGACCACAAACGCTAAGTCTGTAGAAGATAGGAAAAGAAGCTAATAAAGAATTTCAAAATTAATTTTAATTCTTTTACTTAGGGATAAGTACTAAGCCATTTCCTGAGAGATGCTTTAGTCACACAAAATTCAGCCTACTAGTTGTGTCCCTAAGCCAGGTAATTAGACACTGAAGCTCCTCTGAAGTGGTTGCAAATTACAAAGTGTGAGGGTGCTGATGAATATTTGACTCTGTCTCTTTGACACGTCCTGGAAATGAGTTCTTACTGCATGTGGCTTGCTGGTTCTCACATACTGAAAAACAAGCCACACACACTGCTGCCTTCTTCATTGCTACCACATGGGCAGCCTGAAGAGTGATGACAAATTGTTAATGGTAAAAAAAGATACATGGCAAGCAAAAGAAAAAAACACAGCTTGATTTTCACACAGGTTACAGAAGCCAAGAAATCATGGGTGTCAGGGGTGCTACCACAGAAGAGATTTGATCATGATATCAGACAGAAAAGTTAATTAAGTAGACTAAAAGCCATTTGAAAATGACATCTACATGTTTATTTTTGTGTTACCATTTCATTAAGAGATTAGATTTGTGGCACCCTGCTTTAGATTTATATTGGGAAACACAGACTGATACATTTACAATGCAAAATGATATTTACAAAAAGGCGTTTTTCCAGATTATTTCACCACTTGTTTTCTTCATTCATTGCCAAACATCATCAGGAAGGGGAATAAACTCTGATATACATACTAGATATAGTGCAGATCTGAAAAAGATAGCTGCAGGTCAAGAGGATGGAATGATAACGGATGATAAACAAGTTGATCTTCCTGTGTATTTTCCACACCTGATTTGAGTTGTACAAAATGTGTCTTCCCTGGAGTACAAAGAAGGCAGAGGTATAGGGGTGAGAAGAAAAAAAAATGCTGAAAGTGGTATATCCTCATACCTGCACACACTGGTTGTTACTGTCTGCTATTAATACTTTTCCATTTGTAGATGCAGCTACACCTTGAAGATTTGTAAATTCCCCTTTGTTTCTTCCTTTGGTGCCTAAAATAGAATACAAAGCACATAAGGAATCAGGCTAGACAGGACTAATCAGTTAGGATCTAAATGCCAGCACATGCATTTATTACATCCTTGATCTATATTGAAGACTTCATATCACTGCTACAACTTCAAAGGACCATCTCAGTAACAGCCCCACAATTTAAGCACAAGAAGGGATTGTTGTTACTCTTCAGCATGTATGCCATCTACATGCCCATCACCATAATCACCTTTTCGGCCTTACCAAATTGCAGTGTTCACAGTTTGCCTCTTGCATGAGGGAACTAGTAAAACGTTTCCCCATTAAGTGATGGACTTTTTTTAAATTGCAGATTCTGGATTCAGATGAGAAGGCAATGAAAGGAGCGGTACTGTGAGAACATACAGACAGAGGCTAAGATAAGAAGATGGGCAGGTGACAAGTTTTTTGCACAATTAGCTAAATCTCCTCAGTGAAGTCATGAAGTTGAGGTAAAACATACCAGTGATCACTTTGGATGGAGCCATTTCAAGACAGGGAAGTTTCCTATTCACTCATACATAGCTCTCAGTCATAGGCTTAAAAATTCCCAACTCAGAGGAAGAACTGGTTTTAAATGATTTGGACATGTGGGCCAATGAAGACTGACACTAGGACACTGAATACTTCTGCAAAGATCTTAGAGTGTTGTGAGAAAGGAGCGTACACACACAGTGGTCCCATTTTTCACAGAATCACAGAATGTTAGGGGTTGGAAGGGACCTCCAGAGATCGAGTCTAACCTCCCTGCAAGAGCAGGACCATCTAGTCT